TTTTTTTAATCAGGCAATAATTAGAAGAATATTTTCATTATTAATTCTGCTTGAATTAGCAAAAGATCCACGTAATGCTTCTGTTGAAATGTTGTGCAAATAGTTTGCTGCATCTTTCAAGGTGTGCAATCTTTTAACTCTAATGATATCACTGATAATTAAATGAATACTACAGTTAAAAGCCTATAAGTTCGTGCTTACTTTGACTCATTAATTTTTAAGTCAATATTTTGAAGGTTTTGGTGAAGATATAGATTGGGTGAAATGGGAGGATGCAGTGGAATTAGCGATGGAAGTAAACAAACCGATATTCCTACTAATACATAAATCGTGGTGCCATGCATGCAAAGGTTAACTCTTCTTTTCTTAATCCCTTCCAGGTTATCCATTCTCTTTTTTATCCGGCAACGGAAATTGACATATACGAAAGTATTACTGTGAACAACGTACACTTTGCATTTTTGAAAGGATATCATCAGAAAAGTGAGGAAAGATCTCAGCACGGAACTTGCGGTCCAGCAATTCTCTTCCATTTTTAGAATTCATTTTTAGGATATCATGCGTGATTTCATTTGCTTTCAGAGTGCATCAACAAATTGCATAGGATAACTGCGCTTGCTAAAACGCATTACTAACCGGCTTTATTTTAGCATTGAAGAAAACATTTCAACAATCAAATGCCCGGAAGGCTTTTAAAACGCTCTCCAAATATTTTATAATGGTTAATACTGAAGATGATGAAGAACCGTACGAAGAAGAATACAGACCAGACGGAAAATATATTCCACGTGTGCTTTTTTTAGGTAAGCAAAGGTAGCATAAATTCGTATATGACTATTTAAATTACTGCTCTTTTTTGTAAGTCTATTTTAAGCCTTAATGGGAAGAAATAACCGCGCAAATTCATCTATTTACCTGAACAAAAATTAGGACACTTTGTAAGATGCCGACAAATTCTACCAGGTAAAACACGGATTGGAAAATTTTTTTCAAAAGTCTGAAATTTCTTTTAAGTAGAATTGTTCTACAGTGAACAGGTTTATGGCCTCTATTATAACCTATTATAATTAGGTCAGTTAACGTGTAAAGAGTTCAGCAGGAAGGATTTTTCTTTTTAAATTTTTAAAATCTAATTATTACCCATAAATTTAATTTTTTGATAAATTTAATTGGCGATGATAAATTTTGAAAATTAGACGAAAAATATTTATTTGTTGAGAAGGAAAGTTTTCATAAAATAATTTTAGGATAATATGAATTTTTTAGCAAATAAAAATCAGGCAAAAGCATAAAGAAATTGAAAATTCAAAAGCTAAAACAAAATATAATAAATTGAATTATTGTGAAGAAGTTAAAACATAAATCTTTCTCTTCCATTAAAAGTTCACTCATTTATTTGATATCATTTCATTCAAATATATTACTTTATAATTTATTGTACGTTTCTGGAAGATACAAAATATTATCACTTGAATAGCAAATTTGAGATTTTAAAATTACTGGCAATTTTATCTGAATTAATTTCCGATCAAAAAGATTTTCATACATCAACCAGTTCAATTTTATACCTGAGATATCACAATCTTATTATATATGACCGAGATATCAAATCCTATTACTTATAATTCCGAAGTCATCTAGGCAGAAGAGGAAATAAGGATAGTCTGGTAACAAAGTCTAATAACTTAATTTTTCTCATTCATTTTCACTTTTTTATGATAATATAAATTATCACTGTGATAACATTTGCATTGTCACTTGCTAATTGATAACTATTCGCCTTGTTAACTCTTTTCTTCAATTTGTAATTCACAGCTTACAACTTTTTCTGTATCATTTCAGATAAAAATGGTGATTTGTTATCACAGTTTAAGAATAAGAAAGCAGAATACAAAAACTACGCATATTATTATTCCTCACCGGCAGATGTACTCAATTCAATGAAAGATGTAATGCGGCATTATAATATTGATGTTAGTCTCATCGTTAATTGACATAAAAAAAATTGAATTAAATTGACTTAATAATTCTTCTATTAAATTGAAAATAATTAACTGAGAGAATGCTCAGAAGATAAAATTACTAACTTTTATTTCAATAGTTAGCATCACTATTGCATTAATAGTTCCAGAAATTAGCTTAGATGAAATTCTTTTTAAAGCTCATTTGTTGAAGAATTCAAAATGTAAAAGTATTTATCCATTAAATGGCATTTTTGACATATTCATTTTACACATTGTGTATTTTAAAAAATGCCAAATGAATTGCTGTTTGAACAAGTTTTTGGCTAAAACAGTAGTCAAATTTCCATGTGTATTCAAACTTAAGATCATATCTATCAACTCTTGTAATTTAATTCTAATAAGAGACTTTAATTTTTGACCTATATCTATCTATGATCAGGAAGATCTCAAAATTTCCTCCTTACTCATAGTTTTTTATCGCTAGAGCTTCTACATTGTGCTTTTAATAATTCACATTTTAGGTTCCAGAAATGAAGAAAGGTGCAAAATTGAAGCCGAACAAATCGGTAAATGAAGAAGAAAAGCCAGACAAAGAAGAAACTACAAAGGAAAGTACAAAAAGCAAGAAGAGTAGCAAATCTGATTTATAGCTTTCTTGGAAATCACAAAATAAAAAGAAATAAAATCAGCTAGTGCGTTCATTATGCGAAGTTGATATGCAAGATACGGTGATCGCTCCTCGTAATATAATGCATGCATGAATGCTTCAGTTGCCTTTTTTAATTTGTTTTGCAAATTGGTTTAAGAACACGTAATTAACACACATGATGCTCATAGACTGGCACTAATGAATGTGTGCATACATTTGTTTGTCTTTTGAAGGTTGAAAAATCTTTCCAAAGGATTAAAGATTTTAAATATCTTCATGATTGATAAAGAGGTGATGATTAGTAAGTTATTTGGAAAGTGCAAGCTTCATGCGTTATTAGCCGTAAATAAATTTTGCACCTTAAGGCTCAAATGCTACTATAACTATGTCGATTTTTAGATTATTCATTGTTATTGTCATTTCGGATTGGCTATTATAACAAAAAGGTTGCTTGAAACAATATGTATTTACATTTGTTAATCTCTCAATTGAATGTTGTTGTAGGAAATGAAATTTTTTGAAAATAGATTTAAAGTTTCAAATTTAAAGGAACTATTTGAAAACCAAGTTTTATTTCATCAATTTTTTAACTTATTGGAATAAGATTATTTAACAGGAATTTAATAGATTAGTTATAGTTTCTATTTGATTCATTGACGAGGTCATTTCTAGTTATTTCATTTTTTCTACAACTTCGAATAGAATTCTGAAATCCTACTCTTCGCCAAATCTGCTCTAAATAATCTCAATCATTTTAAATTAGTTTTGTCGCAGCATTTCTTTGATCTCTGAACTAAAATTAGCATTTAAAGTTTAAGTTACTTCAAACTTTTTGCCAAAAATTTAAAAAATATGCAAAATCGGGTCAAATTAATGAAGAATTCTTTGAAATTTATGCTTTATATGCGATTTTTTTTAGATTGGATAATTATTTAAGTGTTGTGTAGGGTTAGAGCTTTAACACTGTTAGGTGCCGATTGACCTCTAACCCCTGCTGAATATTATTGCATCATTGCATCATAAGCCATCATCATCCTTGTTGAAGTTTTTGTAATGCGGGCTAGAGAGGAGGAAGACGTTGATAGGATGAAAGCTCTCCAACTTATGCAATGTTACTGCAATTTTTCACATACCTTACTGATGCTTCTGTTAGATGCTTCTGTTTATGTTGCCGAATAATTTGCATATTCCGAATTTTTTCTGAATGCCCTTAAGTCGTTGAAGCCATGTCAAAAATATCGTTATGTTACTTCAGCAGTATTACAGCAATCAAATGGGAATATTCCTACCATTACTCTGACCTTTCAACCGAATTCGGATGATCGTATAAACTCCCAATTTTGTTTTCCATGAGAAAAATAAAATAACGAATAGCTTTATTCCTATTGATTAATTTTTAAGTAATACAAATTATGCCATCAATCAAAATTTAATCATTTCCGGATGTTTTGAGACAACAGATGAGTCAGAACAAATAAATTTATTCCACCTGAATACTTCCAGAATTACTGATCGATATGCAGCCAGTATCATATATCATAATGCCTTTATGATGAGCTGTAAATAAAGTAGTATATGAGCACTTAGTACAGTACTTAATTGCGCGTTACTAATGTGACCTCGGATTTAGCACTCTTACAAATATCAGCTAGAAATTAAGGTTAATTCTATTTTATCATCTGCATAAGTTATTGTTCATTCTAATTGCTATGATACATATAATTATCGCTTTCAGAATGATAAGCAAAAAGATAATCTGATAAAATTTGATAAGGCTACGCTAAATTCATTTTATTTTCTTATTTTATTGAAAAAACCAAATAACAAAAATGTACACAAACAATTTCGAATAATTCAATTAAAAGTGCAAAACTTATTCCTGCAAAAAAAGAAATGGGCAATGGTTTTGCACTTTACCGAAAGCAAAAGGAAGAGAAATTAGAAGAAAGTGTCAATAATGGATGACATCCTGCTGTGTGTTGAACTTTGATGGAGTGATGGAAATGGTTACCGATCATACGACATTTATAATTATCTGAGAGGTAAACAAAGTATGTTTCAAAAAGAGAACTGTAACAATAGCAGGTGGATATATATAAGTTTGCCGACAAAATATGCTACGGAAAATTAACTCACTATCGAATTACAAATAGCTCTTATTATATCGGCAACAATTTTGATTATAAGAACTTTTTTATGTGATCTATTTTGAGGATAAGAAATCCGCCTAATGAATCACTTCTTCTATATTCCAAAAAACTTTCAAGTAGGTATTATTTTGATTAAAGATCACGTAATATTTGGAAAGTGATGCTATATACACATTGTATTTCGTATGAACTGATATTCCTATTTTGAAGTCTTAAGAATGTTTCTGAATCACAAACTCAACGTTCTACTGCACTTAGTTCGTTGTCTACCGAAAGATAAAATGACTGTCCATGGTGAGTTGCAGCCACTGCTTCATTTTCCTCTTTTTGATCATCGCTAAGGATCTGCCTTAGTGCGTAAATATAATTGTTGGCCATTCGAAGAGTTTCTGAAAATAAAACTACAATCACTAATTAGAATTCATAAATACGTTTGCAAGTTACAAAAAATATTCTTTTTAATACGAAGGTTCCAAGAATTATTTGAATGAAAAAGATTTTAAAAAATATATATTCACCGATTTTAGTTAGCTTTGGTTCATCTGGAAGTTGTGGTAATGTTCGCCGTAACTTTTCTAATGCTTCGTTTAAATTATGCATTCGGCGACGTTCACGAGCATTCGCTTTATTTCGACGAATTTGTTTCGTTCGTCGAATAGTTTCTGGACTACGAACTCGACAACGATATTTTCGTTTGGTTCGTTTTATTATATCTTGTCCAGTGGTTTTACACTCTCGTGTTTGTATTGACTGAATATTTTTCGTTATTTTCCAGAATTTTTCATTGAAAAAATTCAAAAAATTATTTTAAAAAGATGGATTTTTTACTGGTCTTCGAATTTTGCTAAATTTAAACTAAAATTCTGGATCGTCCATAAGCTTCATGAGATTAAGGTCACTAATACTAAGTGACAAAATGCAAGCAATTTATTGCGCAAATGTCGTAATAAATATAGAAGTAGATGAATAACAAAAAAGTAATAAATAGATAACCCACCAAATTTTTTCTTTAGAAGTGAATAATTAACAAATAAATTTTTTCCCGCTTGCAATCACTGATAAGACAATTCAACATATCTTATCAATGATTGCAAAAGGAAAAAAACGAAAGAAAAACAGTCGTAGAGTGAAGTAAACTGAATTATGAATCGTGAACAGCTCACTGTAAAATTTGATAAAGACAATTAAAGTAATAAGTAAATGAATTTGTAAAGATATAATGAAATAACCTGATGCTGACGTGTAGTAGAAGATTTTTGATTCAGATACTTCGTAATCAGTGACTTCTTATCCATTCATGAAGATATTATGAATGATTGTTTCCTTTAATGCTGATGCCCTAATTGGCGTAGAAGGCGTGGTAAATGGTTCAACACTAATATCCATCATCCGCTAATTTACAGTATACTCATGAAAAAAAAATAACCTAGAAAGCTGTTCTAACTTTTAATGCATTTACGCGTGGCAGGAAAATTCTTTCTATTTTCTTCTTCTCGATTTTTCAATAAGGTATGGCATATATCTGATTTCTGTAAGTATAAATTATTACAGCTTACTTATTGTTTTGAAATAAGTATATTGATTGATTGTTTAATATATCTTCTCCTATTATCATGTAGAAAGTACATAATTTTTGTTTGAAATAGATTTGAGTGGTAGACAAAACAAAATGGACAAAAGTTGAGAATGAAAATATTAGAGAGAAATGTAGTAGTGAAGTTTGAGAAGAGGAAGAAATAATAAAGCTGAATGATGGAACGAATTAAAATCATTTGTGCATCCGCTGTAAATCTCTTTAAAAAAATATGAAATACAGCTGTGTTCTACCGGCTGGCTGATGATCATTACATCAGCCACTATCAGTGTATTAAAATAGTATATTATTTATAATAAGTAAGATCCTGACCAATTTCGAACATTTTGAAACAAAATTGAAGGTTTTAAATTTTAATTATACCTTTGCTGTTATATTAAAATTCGTTCAACAAACTTTTTTTCATGCTCTATATCCTGAAATAAATCAGTTAAAATTTAATGATACATATCTTGTTGATACTATTTTTTTTTTCAAAAATTTTACTACAGTTTTTTCTCTTTTGTTTCTGTTAATATGTAGAAAAATAGCGGAAAGAGATATATTATTCTTCGCAGATGAAGAAAATGTGACACCAAGTAATTCCCATAAGTGGAAGTAGCAGATGTACTAAGTTGTTACCAATGTGTCATTCCGTTGACAGTACAAATTAGCATGAAGCGAGAGGATGGAAAAACGGTGGCAATTTGATCAGATAAATGGATTACTGAATTATGAGGAAGGAAGTAAACGGGGTGACAATCCAATCAGATGCCTATTTCCGGTATTCTTTATTGCGCAATAGTAAGCTATGTTAACTGTGAATGAACAATAAATTTTTTTCTCCAATAGTCATTTATCTTGACATTTAAAGAGAATTAATTGTATTAATATGTTAAAGATATCAGAAAAGTAGTCAAGCATATTTCATTGTTCCAACTAATTAATCAATCTATCAATCTGTTTAATTGGTTTCCTACTCATTTCGCTTAATTGAAAAAAATACAAATTTGCTGAATTTGATAGAGATAACATTAATAACATTTTATAAGATGTGATGATTAGCGGCGTATCATAAAATATTCAAAACCTGAGTAGATCATTGGAGGATCGTTGGAGCAATATACGGGAGAATCGAAAAAATCCAGCTCTCTTCCCGCAATTTTAGATACCGATTAGTAATGATGTAAATTTATATTTCAAGAAATATAAATAAATATATGTTAATAAGTAATTTGTAGCAATGGAATGATAATGTTGACTTAGTTTGTGGTTTTATTTTTTGATGTGCTCCAGAATTTCAAAGGCTTTCAAAAGCAAATTTTCTAAATCGTTTGTAGGAATTTTGAATATTGCGCAACTCAGGCCTGTTTTTTTGTTATTTCACTTGTTGAAGACAATATGATCTTGCAGTATTAGACAGATAAAGATTTCTCGAGAAATAGTAATCAGATTATAATTGAGATCGTAGCAGATACAACTATGGGATTCTTGAGGCAACAGTAATTAATTTTTTTAGAGAAACAAAATGGGCAAAATATGAAAAAAAAGTCGAGTCTTAATTTCCATATACTGAGATTCAATAAGGTCAAATCCAAAAGCAGAAGGATGTTGGCATGAATCCGATTTGAAATATTATTTTTGTATATCGATTGTCAGAATTACTCAGTATTCAAGATTCAAGAAATTACTGCACATACCGGTACACACGATAAATAAAAATCTCTCCATAAGCAATTATTTTATATTTTATCATTTTTCCTCTAATATCCTCGTCTTTTTAAGTTGCATATTACACTTCCTTGTTTTACTAAAAATAACAGTTAAGAACCATTTACACCTAATTCCAAATTCCGAACTATTATAAATTTTTATTCTTTCCAACTTAAACATCAAACGACGCTTCATCCGTAATACAAGTGTAACATATTTGGTTTTTACGATGAATGGAAAATAAAATTTCAAATAACAAAAACCATATGTATGAATAACACATTCATGATACGGAAAAATTTAAAAATAAAAACATCTGATTTTCCATAAATACTTCTACATTTCTTGAAATTAAACATTTCCATAATATTTAAGTTGACATATTACACTTCCTTGTTTACAAAGTACTTTGAATCGGAAATGGTCATTTTATATCTTTCTTTTCTGATATGATCATTTTTTACATCTGATATTTTAATAAAAATAACATAGTAACACTTTGGAAAAATTATTTCACAGAATCTTTCAGTTCACTGATAAATTCATCAGCAATTAGATGTAAATTCGTGAAGTAGAAAATGTTCAAACAAGTGGAGCAAGCAATACAGCAAAAGATATAAAAAAAAAGAGATAAGTCCAATTATTCTTCGTCGCGAGCTCGTTTGCGACTACGCCCACTTTCTAAAAAGTTGACAAATTGCCAGGCAAATTTTTAAAACATGTGGTTTAGAAAAATTATGGCAACGGGGTGAGATATTCATGCGAAAATCTCTATATGCTTCGAAAACGATGAGCAAGTGTTTAACATCCCGAAAAAAATCTAGTTAAGTCTGTCGTAAACACAAAATAGTAAAATTTTGAAAATCCGTAGAATCGTTAGAAAAGATAAACTCTGAAATCCCATAAATTACTAAGACGAAAATTTAAAATCTAGAAAGTCCAAAAATCCAAAAACAAATTTAATTAATTACTGAAATACCTTCCACACGAAATTTGAGATCGAATTCTTGGTCAGCTCCGAGGTATGAATCACAAATGAAATATAACTTGTAATGCATTTTTCCTACTGCCAATGCAGTAAAATCAAGCGTCATTTTCGCTTTCTGGTGAACTGTTAACCTAAAAATGAAAAATAAAATTATTTTTGTCTCTCCGCATTAAGAAAACGGAGTACTTTTCGATATCACATAAAGCTCACTTGATAACAAGAAATTCATTTTTAATGAAAAATCCTTTCCTATTCTTATATTTCTATACCTATTATTTTATTTTTATATATTTTTATACATCCAATTATTAAACTCTCAAATCAAAAAAAAATTCAAAAAAAAAACAAAAAATTCAAAAAAGAAAAACGCATTGCTGCAGAACTTCCGGAAAAGCACCTTTTTATAGAAAACAGAGTATTAGAAGAATGATCACCGATAACCAGCCACCACCCTTCTTCTTTTCGTTTCTGAGGAAAAAGAGGCGCCACTACGGGTGGAGCCATTCCATTCAAATCATTTTCACGTTCCATTTCGACAGTAACGTTTATTGTATCACCCCTGAAATAGAATTAAGTCAAAGTCGATGATGTCAAAGCTACAAGGAAACTTTCTAATGAAATTTCCAAAAAAAATTAGTGATTTTTCAACCTTGTGAAAGGAAAAGAAAGATTAGATACTGTCATAAAAACTAATTTCAGGGAACAAGAAATATAAATCATTTACATAGTAATGGTTCCATTATTTTCAATTTTATGTTCAACTTCAATGCTAGGATAATGATTGCAAAATCGAGCAACATCCGACATTTCTGCTGGAGTCATTTGTAAAAGTCCCTGCCGGACGTCATCGTCCAAATCCAGCAAGTCAAATATTGATGATATTTTCTATAAAAGTAGCAGAAATTCATAAAGATTACAATTCAAAGCTTATGTGAATAGAGGAACAAATTCAACTAAAGAAAAAAGAAAGTGCCATATTATTTTGGGCTGTCCAAGGACACGTAGATCTTCATCATTTGCGAACACCCAAAAATATGCCATTATTTTCTTTCTCCGACAATTCATTCGATTTTTTATGGAAAAGCTGATTTAATAAATTTGAAAATCTTTCTGAAAAATGAAGAAACAACTGACCTTTTCTTTGCATCGTTCAAGCAAGGAAGCCGAGCAATGAGGTAGTTGCTTCAAATATGATTCACTGGTGAACATTGCTTGTGTCAACATTTGCGAAAGTTCCATTGCATGGACGGCCGGCATCAACCAGCCATTACTGAATCAATAGAAAAATTTAAAATGAATTTTTACTATCATATTGTTACTCATTTTAGAAACAATTTAACCAGAAAAGCAACTAATGAGCAACTAATTCACATACTTCTTAGATTTTTTTTTTCTGAATTAATGCAATATACCTGCTTAAAACATCAACGCAAGCTTGTACTAGACGAATTGCCCTAAGAATGACAACTTCTGTGTCTTTATTTAGCTCAGCTGACAACTGTATACGGGCCAAGTGAGCATTCATCAATAAATTAACCTGAAAAAAATTGGATGAATCAAAATATATTATGCGCTGTATATCATCGAAATATAATATTATAACATGTTTCAGAGGATTTGGACTTCTTATTGAAATTTGTGAGTCAGATTTTTAGTGAAAACAATCAAAAATTATCTATATGTAAAAAGATTTATTTACCTTAACATGTGGATCTGTGAACTTCTGATATTTTTGCTGGCCTGATAATCGCTCAGCCAGTTGTTTCAACAAAATATCTTCCTTGTAACGTATTGGCATGTTTGCAAATTCACTTGCATTACTGATAATTTCAATAAGAGCCCGCAGTTTGGTCTTCGCGCTCAAAGACATGCTGAACACTTCTGAAATAAAAGAAGAGAACTTCTTTTACAAAAAATACTATGAAAAAAACTTCCTTTACAAAAATACTTAAATCTGATTTGTTTTAAAGACCATTTTTTTATTTTAGCGATGGTTCCTCTAATATTGTCTATTCATAAAA